TCTCAGGATCCTTCTGCTTCAGCCTCCTAAGTGCTGGCATTGCAGGCATATACCCCACCCGTGGCTCTGCAGGGTTTTTAAGCAGTCTAAAGAGAGTTTAAATCCACATATATACATAAATGAAAAAGCAGAAAGAGCCTATGCCTGTACTTCCAGCTACCCTTGAGCCTAGGAATTTGACACCAGCCTGAGAAACAGGACTCCACTTCAAAAACAAAGCAAAATTTTACTCCAACCTCACCCATCCTTTTGTTTTTTTTTATTTATTTTATGATTTTTTTTGTACTGGTGATCAAACTCAGGACCTTGCATTTGCCAGATAGGTGCTATGCTGCTAAGCTAAATTCCCGGCCCTATTTTATTTTATTTCTTGAGACAAGGTCTCGCTGTATAGTGAACTCACTACGTAGCCCAGGCTGGCCTAGAACTCCTGGCAATCCTCCTGCTTCAGCCTCCCGAGTGCTGGGATTATAGGTGTATACTACCACACCCAGCTCCCTTCTTAAAATAACCTCTTGCATAGTAGTACATAGTAATGGATTGTGTCTGTTCACTGGGCACTGCAGATTAAAGACAATTTAGCAAGAGGAAGATTTGTGTGTGCTGCCCAAGGATGGAACCAGGGTTTTGCTTTGTTTTTTGGTACCGGGGATCAAACTTGGAACCTTGCTTTTGTGAGGCAGGTGGCAGAACCACTGAATTAAATCCCTGGCCCAGAACCAGGGCTTTTAAAAGTGCCAGGCAAGTGCTGTACCCCTGAGCTACCCCCCAGTCATGCATATAGATTGTTAGTCAAATCAGTGCACAAAAGTTCACAGAAATGTGATCCAGAAGGCCAGGATATTAAAATTTGGGGCTGAGAACACAATTTTAACAGGAGATGAAAGGGGAACAAAGACTTTTATGGGAAGAATGAGTGTGTTTTTGAGGAAGAAAATGAGAGTCCAGAAGGTGGAGATAGTCTGTTTCTGCAGGGGGAGGGTCTCTGAGTGCCTCCAGTCTAATGTCATTGTAACTCATTCTCTCAATGACATTGCATTAGGTTGAATGTAGGGACTGCCCAAAGTCTGACCTTGGCAGAGTATAAAATTTTAATTTCTTTTCGTCTTGCTTAATATATTATTGTGCTCCTCTTACAAAGAAGAGTGTAGGCTCAGGAGGGATGAGCCTGCTGTGGGACAGAAGTTAAGGGCTAGAGTTTTGGGATAGGTGGAGAAAGGGGCTCTGATCCTACTTGTGGACAATGCGTCATCTGACCCCCAGCAACTTGTTTCCTTAGTGTCTTGGGGTTAACACCTTTGGGCTACATTTTGGGAGCTACAGTTGGATGCTTCTCACTGACTTCACAGATACTTGACTCAATAAGAAGTCATGCATCTCAAAAAACCAAAAAAAAAAAAAAAAAAAAAAAAAAAAAAAAGCAGTCATGCATGTTCCACAGTGGACAGGGTTATTTTAAATTGAACGCTAGGCCAGGTGTGGTGGTGCCTGACAGTGATCCCAGCACTTGCGAAGCTGAGGCAGGAGGATCACTATCAGTTTGAGGTCAGCCTGAACTACAGAGTGTGACTGTCTCAAAAAGAAAGGAAGAAAGAAAAAACTTAATGCATCAAGATTCAACAGATACAGAAAGAAGCCTTTTCAAAGCTTGCCTTATCTTGTAATGGCAAACGGGAAACACCAAAAGGCACCCAGGACTTGGAGGCAGAAAGCAAACTTTATTACATCAATGGGCCTGGTCAGGACAGTTCCTCAAAGAAACAGGCAGTGTCTTTTGTTCTTCTACAGTTTATACACAGGGTTTGCAAGCAGGAACTAAGTACAGAAACTGAGCATGCAGTTCATTTGTTACATATATCATTATTACTAATTGGTTTATAGCAAGTTCAAACTCAGGTTAGAAAACATTAGTTCAGGAGCCAGAGATATAGCTCAGTGGTACTGCGGCTGCCTTCAAAGTGCAAGGTCCTGAGTTCGATCCCTGGTGTTGGGGGCATTAGTTCAGGGTAAGGTCGGCTAGATAAGGGAGACACATATTTGGAATATGCATCAGTTCAGGGTAGGGTCTGCCAAAGAGGAATACATAAGAGAGACATGTACTTGGAGTGGGCTTCAGTTCAGGGCAGAGTCTGCCAAGGAGGAATTTGTTTGGGCTGAAAGAATAAAACTGCTCACAGCCAACATTACCCTGGACTGGTGTCCCACCTGTCTTTCAGCCATTTTATTCTTTTTTGTCTCAATCTAAGAAACTGCAGGGAGTGTGGCTGCCATAAATCCCTTCCCTGGGAGAAATTTTATTATTTTTTATTTTTTTGGGGGGGTGAAGGAGTTTTTTTGCGGAGGAGGGGCAGTTGAGACAAGGTTTTACTATGTAGTCATCTTAAACTCACAGCCATCTCCTGCCTCAGCCTTCCAGCACTGGGATTATAGATCTCTGCAAGCGTTCTCAGCTCTTCTGGAATAGTTTTACTGGCCAAAAAGAATTCAAAGGCCAGGCTCCCAATTTTTTGAATAGGAACTTTAAATTCTCACACCCGCTTACAACAGTAAGAACTCTATTACAACTCTGAGAAATCCTGCCTTCTATTTTTTTTGGAACTAGGAATCAAACTCAGGATCTTGTATTTGCCAAGTAGGCATGGTGCCGTTGGGCTGGGGATGTATCTCAGGGATGTTGCCGCCTGCCTTGCAAGTATAAGGTCCTGAGTTCCATCCCAGTACCAAAAGAAAACAAAAACAAAAACAAACAAAAAAACCCAACAAAAAAACACCCAAAACAGAGCCAGGTGTGGTGGTGCGCACCTGTGGTGCCATCACTTGGGGAATGGTGGCTGAGTCGGGAGGATAGCTGTGAGTTCTATGCCAGCATGGGCACACCTGTATTGACTTCAAGACCAGCCTGAACTACATAGGAAACCCCGTCTGAAGAAACCCAACCCTCTGGCCAACGCGCTCAAATGAGGGATGACTGTGAACCTGAAGTAGATCTTCAGAGATTGAGAGGACTAAATGTGTTGCTTGGATCATTGGTTGGCAAAGGAATGCTATGTGCAGCTGCAAGATTTTTTGTTTTTTACGCTGGGGATGGAGTCAAAGGCTTCAATGTGTGCTAGGCAAGTGCTCACCCTTGAGCTCACCCCAGCCCACAGGTGCAAGTTTTTTTTTTTTTTTTTGTACCGGGGATTCAACTCCGGAATTTGCGCTGGCAAGGCAGGCGGTGGAACCACTGAGCTAAATCCCCAGTGCCAGGTGTAAATTTTTAATCCGACTGCGCAAAACCCCCTTACTTCCTCTACTCTCTCCCAATCCCTGACCATCTCGGGCCCAGGCCAGGCAGCACTTTCAGAGGCTCGAAGCTCCCGCCCCTCCTTACTCCTCCCGTCCCCCGCCCCCACTGTCGCCGCTCGCCTGGGGGCGTGGCCCACAGACCCCACGCTCTGCAGCACTAGCCCCTCCCCCACGTA